GGGGCTGCGGGGAGGGCGTGTCGCTGCTCCGTGTGGCGCTGCTGGCCTTGTCAGCGCGGGGAATGGCGGGGCGATCCGCGGAAGCGGAGAGCCGTCGTGTGTGCTGCGGGTCGGGACTCGCTCCCCAGCGCTGATGGCATCGCAGCGTAGGGAGTCCTGCCACACCTGTAAGTCAGCTGTAAGAAGAGCAAGGCTTCAAACTGCGGTTGGCACATCGGGCCGTGTGCTTTCTGGGGGTTTATTTACCTTTGCATAACGCTTTTTCTAGATTGATGAAATCGAAGCCCTTTCATCCATCTATGGGGAAGACTGGTGTGTTGTGGATGAAGACGAAAAAATCTATTGCATTAAAATTAGTGATTGTTTGGATCAACCAAAATGGACCCTCTGTCTGCAGGTATAGTGATGTTTAGAAGTCTGGCACAGAATTTGCAGTTGTACTGATGCAGGCAACGTCTTGTGCCTGCATGAAAACCTTTTAAATAGGATTCATTGTTTACTCAGATGGATTGAGGCGCTTTTGAAATGTGATGTGTGATAGACTTTTCAGTGATTGTTCCTGTAACACATCAATGTGCTTGTGATGTTTTCAGTAGTCACAAATTTCCATTCCACACCTGAGAAAGACTAAGTTCAGTGTTTTTCTCCAAAGACTAATTTAAAAAATATTTTTTACATTGACTTTATATGGGACACCTTAGTGAATCTGCTGCAGTTGCTTCTAGATTTACTTTCTGGAATGTGTGGAGACAACATTAAATTCAGATCAACTTACTGGAATTCTAAAAACAGATGTTCAGGTTTTCTTATAATTCTGTAATAACAGAGCCAACTATTTTCTAAATTTGTAACAATGACTAGTGCTGGACACCAGAGTATCAGTAAAGCTCAGCTAGCTGAGAGGAGTAGTCCAGTGAATACTTCTGAATTTCTTTCAGGTGATTTTGCCACCAGGATATCCAACTGCAGAGCCACCTATTTATCAACTAAAGTAAGTGAAGTTTTCTTCCAAATATTTGTTTATTTTCTGAATTACCACTGTTAATTTCTTACGGTCTAAGCCAAAGTATAATTAAGATGACTCCTTGAATGAAAGTATACCAGACATGGGGATGTTTCCAGCCAGAATATTTTGTTCTTTCTCCTGAGTTGGCCTCACAGAGCTCCCTTTGACAGTTTGCTTTCTTCCCTCAATTCTAATTCTTGCAGCATTATTTTGTGGCAAGGCAGCAATTAGGTGGTTCTGGAGGCTGCTGTCTGTTGTGTTGGACAGCAATGTCTTATCACTTCCTTGGGTGAACCCCTCATGTCTGGATCCTTGTTTCAAATTGTAAGGCACACTTCTCATCTGAGCACTGACTCCTGCTGGCATGGAGCCATGGCATGTACCACCTTCCTCTTTTCCTCCCCTTGTCTCCTGATGTGTAAACAACATGGGAATGGAGACGTGTAAGCCAGGTCCCTGATATGGATGACAGAGAGACCTGCAGGGCATGACACATGGCATATCCACTGAGTTTTGGTCAGCAGTATTGGCAAGGCAATACAAAATAATGCTGGTAAAATTGAGGCAAACTAAAGTTTAACATGAGGCCAGGAGGATAGTTAGAGAACTTGAAAGGTAATTCTAAATATAGTAGGTACTATGGTGGTGAAGGAATTGGAGAGGTAAACTGGTAATGTGTAAGGTGACTCTGGAGTGACAGTGGCCTACCATGCATGGAGAATGAGTCCAGCTTTCTTACCTGAGGTAGGAAATGGCATCACAAGACGGGAGTCTTGAAGGAGAAGTGGGTGATCGTGCCATTACCAAGATGCTTACAACTGCAATCGTGTTAAGTAGAAATGATTTACAGTGTTTTATTTGTAAGGTGCTTACCACATTTATTTTAAAATGAAAGTTTGTGGAGATGTTGCAATCAGAGTATGGGCACAATTTTCATTGTATTTCTTTTCATTCTAGTGCCCCTTGGCTTCGAGGAGAAGATTACACGGAACTAGCAAATAGCTTGGAAGAAATATATGTGTAAGTTAGAGACTGTGGAATATAATAAAAGCAGACTGTGTTTTCAGTTTCATGCACTGCTTGATGTATGTTTTCAGGTACCCACATAAACTAGTGATTTTGAAGCGGTTGCTGCAATAGCTATAAACCAGAAAGTTTCTTTTATACATCTTACAGTTAAAGATGCTATTTTGCAAGAACAAATTGTGTTAAACTGACAAGTGTCTTTTATATTGTTTAGACCTGGTGTTCTGTAAGGATAGAAGTCTTCATTTTGACTCCTAATAGAACAGACTCCCTTTAGAATCTGTGAGATTGCTTGTGAGTTAGTGCTATGAAGGAGATTTCTGCAGTGATTCTGTATTTGAATGTTAAACCACAGGATGTTAAAGCATTTATTTATTCCTGTCTTAGAGCATAAGTGGCAAAACAGTTTTTCTTAAAAGATAGCTAAGGGATAAATAGGTTTTAAAACAAATTAAACACATGTGGAATTTATTAACTAGAATCTGTATCATAGCTGACTGTTTATTATCACACTGTGCAGCTAACAACAACTCATAATGAACGCATGAGAATAAATGGAACATTTAGAAATACTCAGATTATGTGGTTTTGAATTGCTGTGAAATTGGAGTAGTAGATGCAGTAATTTTATATGGTTTATTTAATTCTTTCAGATCCCAAATATAATATAAACTAAATGAAACGAAAACATGTCAGAAGGAAGCACAGTCATGCCCAAAATACTGTAATGTGAACATCTTGTATAAGAAATGGTTTTTAATGCCATAAAATAAGGAAGAGATCACTTAGCTTGCGTGATGGTTTTTTATCTGTTTACTCATTTACTTTGATTAACTGGGTTTCTTATCTAAGGAACCAACAGATAATTTAAGCAAGTAAAATTGAAGTGTTAAAAATGCACAAGGATTTTAAGTAAAAAGTTCTATAGGATCCTATTAACCAGAGCTGGTCAGTGGAGCAAAAGGAAAGAGAATTGTTCTTAACTCTGTCGAGATTAATGGGATTTGCTGGAGTCTCTACCAGAGGTAGCTCTGCTTTAGGTGATTCTTCAAAAGTCCTTAGCAACCGATGCAAGTTGCTACATGAGGATTTTGAAGACAGAGCTATGAGTTTATAAATGCCTTGTTTTTGCTTGAGTATTTTTCTTAAAATATGTACAATTGTTTGAATTTCTGATTGTATTCAATAGTAGTGCTGTATGCATTAAGCAAAATAAGGGATTAGAAATGTAAATTTGTAAATTTTTTAAAATGTAATTATGAGAGGCCCCAGATGGTGGCAGCAAGAAAATAATTAATGAGAAATCGTGAGTTACCTAAGGCCCTAAATCTTTAGTTTTGTTTTTGAGACAAATATGCACCACTCATAAACATACTAAAATATAATTGCAAAGACAACTTTTCAGGACACGATTTTAAATATGTTTTGGATTATCTGGGTCATGCAGCATTTCTTAACTGAATATGCATATAAAAAATGTGTTTATCCCATCCTCACCCAGTACCTTAGCACACGCCTGAGCCCCGTGACTAAGGACTCCTAGACCTAATTCTAACCTCCCTGTTCTACAGGAAGGCTTCTTACCCAAACAGTAGCCTATCAGTCCAGTGCTCAGCAGTGTCTAGTGCACTGACCTGCTTTCCCAAAACATGAAAGGAAGGAGTCCCCTGCAGCCACGGAGCAGCTGAAGAAGCTCACCACTGGCAGCAGAGTACTTTTTGTAGACAAATTGATCCAGAACAAGCTCTAAGGCTAGACATCCTGGCTTAGCATTATTTTGAAAACGCTGAGGACTGAGAGTTGTTTTCCCTTTCTTTAGTGGCCAGAAAGTTTCAGTCAGTTGCCTGTTTTCCTCCAGTATTGGTGCTTCTCATATTAAAAAAAAAAAAAGGCAAATAAAAGCAATCCAGAGAGTATATAATGATGTAGATATCATATGTTTCACCTGGTGAACTACTGAGACAGAGCTTTCCACAAGCCTGTCTAAGCTCTTTATCTCACTAGAATATAGTCTTCTATTTCTGCATGTCTGAAATCTGTGTTATTTGGTGTCCTTTCCATGTGGAATTATTCTCCATTCACTGTGAGTTTTAATTTCCAGACAGAACCTTGGTGAATGTATACTTTATTTATGGGTGGAGAAGATACGAGAAGTTCTGATAGAAAAAGCACAGACATCAGATCCAGGTACTTCAGAAAATATATGGGTTTTTCAGTTTACTGCCTGTTCAACTGCAAAGTAAGATTTCATTGCCAGTCAAAGCTTTATACCCAGTTTTGTATTGGATCTAAATAACAGAAAACAATAGTCCCCAGGGTCATGGCTTATTGTTTTACAGTCATAACTTCCCTTTTTAAAAAGCAGTAGGGGAAAAAAATGGAGTGGGGTGGCCTCTGTGAACTAGGACGAAGTCCTAATTTCTCTCAGGAATTAAATAAATTGCATGAAAATGTGCTGCACACATCTACCTTATGCACTGTCCTCTTTTGCAAAGGAATAATTCATATCAGTAATTAATTTCTTGTGCTGTGTGCACTCTTGGAGGATTGGAATTAGTCTCAAGAGAAGAGAGACTTCAGTGGAACATGCAGTCAAATGACCAAATATTCCATTCTTAATTGCATTTTGCTATATTGGGATGAGAAGTTCATGATCACTAGTATTGCAGTGATTCTTCTGCTGTTACTCTTACAGTGATAGCATTTATGTATATTTATAGTTGTTCGGTCAAAACGTAGTGGGGTTTTTGGTGGGGGTTTTTTTGGTGCATCAAAATGCGTAACTTTTGTGGAATGCATAACTGACATGCATGCCTGCATGCACTTGTGGCAGAAGGAAATCACAGGATCATGGAATTGTTGGAGTTGGAAGGGACTTCTAGAGATCATCTAGTCTGACTCCACTCCTACCTCGGCTAAAGCAGGATCCCCTAGAGCACATCACTCAGGACTGCATCCTGGCAGGTCCTGAATATCTCCAGAGAAGGGGACTCCACAACCTCCCTGGGCAGCCTGTTCCAGTGTTCTGTCACCTTCACTGTAAGAAGTTTTCCCTCATATTTAAATAGAACTTCCTGTGTTCCAGTTTGTGCTCATTGCCCCATGTCCTGTCACTGGGAGCTATGGAAGAGAGTCTGGCTTCATCCTCCTTGCACCCACCATTTAGGTACTTGTGGGCATTCATAAGGTCTCCCCTCAGCCTTCTCTTCTCCAGGCTGAAGAGTTGCAGCTCTCTCAGCCTTTCCTCATAAGGAAGATGCTCCAATCCCCCAGTCGTCTTTGTTGCCCTCTAATCAACTCTCTTTAGTAGTTTCCTGTCTTTTTTTGAACTGGGAAGCCTAGAAATGGATGCAGTATTCCAGCTGTGGCCTCATCAGGGTAGAGTAGAGAGGGAGAATGACCTCTCTTGACCTACTGGCCACACTCTTCCTTAGGTACCCCAGGATTCCATTGGCCTTCTTGGTGGCAAGGGCTCATAAATAGGAGTATTTTTCTATGTGGTGGATGTTAGCTTAGTACCGTGAGCAATAAAAGAATGATGATGAACAAATATTTATTTTACACTCTTCATTATAAGATCCAGTTTTAGTCTTTCAGTAAACTGTGCATTTTGTTGCTGCATTGCAGAAATTTTAAAAGTAGTTTTTCACTGACATGATTAAAGGAGTGTAGAGTGAGAAGTGAAAGTTATACTGACAATATTGTAAGTTTTTTGGGGTATTCTGACAGCAACCTTATAGCTTCTACTTAATATGTATAGTTGTTTTTCTAAGCCTCTTGAACATGCTGTATCACTCCTCTACTTTGTCATTGAAAATACCTGTGTTGCAAAGACTATCATCACCACATCATAGGCCCTCTAAATAGGAAATTAGACTGAGATCTATTAACTTGCTTGTGTGGCTGATTCCCCCTAAATCCAGTTGCCAGAACATTAACTGTGTGTGATATTTACTCTTTGCTATTGACTTTTACTTTTTTTATGTCCTATGCATGAAGGAAAATAGGATTTTGGGAATCAGAGAGTGCTTGAAACTTATCCAGAGAGATGTTCCAATATAGCAAGTTTATAACCTCATTTAGTAGCATTGAACAACAGGTCTACATTTTTCCCCAAAGAACTAGTAAATTACTGGAATTTCTGTGAAATAGCTGGATTTGAAGTGGGAGGGGGTTGTAGCTGGGTTTGAACTAGTGGGGCATTGTTCTAGTATTAATGAAGACCAGCAGGCCTCCTGCCTCCCAAGGCTGCCACCAGCGTGCTCAGCTCACTCCTTGAAATGCCTGCACACCAATGCAGGCAGCATGGGGAATAAACAGGAGGAGGTAGAAGTCTGTGTGCAGTCTAAGGGTTATGATCTGGTGGCAGTTACAGGGACATGATGGGACAGCTCACAGGACTGGAATGAGGTCATGGATGGCTATGTCCTTTTTGGGAAAGACAGGTCAGCAAAGCGAGGCGGTGAAGTTGCTCTTTATGTGAGAGAGCGACTAGAATGTATTGAGTTCTGTCCAGGGGCAAATGAGAAGCAAGTGGAAAGTCTGTGGTTACGAATTAAGAGACAGGCTGGCATGGGTGATACAGCTGTGGGGATCTATTATAGACCTCCTGTTCAGGACGGGGGGGTTGATGAGGCTTTCTACAGGCAGCTAAAGGCAGCCTCACAACTACAGGCCTTGGTCCTCATGGGGGAATTTAACTACCCAGATATTTGCTGGAGTAGTCAGCATGGTTTTAACAAGGGAAAGTAATGTTTGACCAACCTTATAGCCGCCTATGAGGAAATTACTAGGTGTGTAGATGATGGTAGGGTGGTAGATGTGGTTTATCTTGATCTCAGTAAAGCATTTGACACTTGTCTCCCACAGCATCCTCCTAGATAAGCTGAGGAAGCGTGGTCTTGTGATCAGGTGGTGAGGTGAATCATGAACTGGTTGAAAGGAAGAAGTCAGAGAGTTGTGGTCAATGGGACAGGATCTAGTTGGAGGTCTGTGACGAGTGGAGTCCCTCAGGGGTTGGTACTGGGACTGATGCTGCTCAATATTTTCATCAATGACCTGGGTGAGGGAACAGAGTGTGCCCTCAGCAAGTTTGCTGATGACACTAAACTGGGAGGAGTGGCTGACACACCAGAAGGCTGTACTGGCGTTCAACAAGACCTAGACAGGCTGGAGAGTTGGGCGGGGAGAAACCTGATGAAGTTCAACAAGGGCAAGTGTAGAATTTTGCATCTGGGGAAGAACATTGGGGACTGATCTGCTGCAGAGCAGTGTAGGTGAAAGGGACCTGGGGATCCTGGTGGACAGGAGGATGACCATGAGCCAGCAATGTGCCCTTGTAGCCAAGAAGGCCAATGGCATCCTGGGGTGCATTAGAAAGGGTGTGGTTAGTAGGTCAAGAAAGGTTTTCCTCCCCCTCTATTCTGCCTTGGTGAGGCTGCATCTGGAGTATTGTGTCCAGTTCTGGGCCCCTCAGTTCAAGAAGGACAGGGAACTGCTTGAAAGAGTCCAGTGCAGAGCCACAAAGATGATGAAGGGAGTGGAACATCTCCCTTATGAGGAAAGGCTGAGGGAGCTGGGTCTCTTTAGCTTGGAAGAGACAGAGGGGCAACCTCATCAATGTTTACCAATATGTAAAGGGCGGGTGTCAGGAGGACAGAGCCAGGCTCTTCTCAGTGATGTCCAGTGATAGGACAAGGGGCAATGGATGCAACCTGGAGTACAGGAAGTTCCACCTCAACATGGAGAAGAACTTCTTTACTGCAAGGGTTACAGAACACTGGAACAGGCTGCCCAGAGAGGTTGTGGAGTCTCCTTTGCTGGAGACATTCAAAACCCGCCTGGACATGTTCCTGTGTGATGTGCTCTGGGTGACCCTGCTCTGGCAGGGGGGTTGGACTGGATGATCTTTTGAGGTCCCCTCCAACACCTAGGATTCTGTGATTCTCTTATTTTTGTCTCTAAATTCAGTTTATATTAATGGTATTACTATAAAACCTTAGTGGAAATGGTAAAAAGTATTCTTCTATTCTTCTTAGAAATAGTGTTTATTAGGACTGAAACAGAAGATACTATTTGGAGATTGCTTAGCATGAGTGTTGTATTCCTATTCCTAAGCAAGATTATTCTTAGTACTGGACCAAGAATTTCTGGGTTTTGTTGTAATTAACATTACTATTCTGCATGTCACAATTCTTAATGACAAACTGATGTGAACTGAAAAGCCAGAAATTTTTCAGAAAAATAATTTGAAATTGAGTCTTACTTTTCTCACCGAAAAAATGTATAATAAATTCTACTATTATATTTTAATAGATCCAGATACTAAGAAAACCAGTGAAGAAGTTAATGATGATGATGAAGAAGATGGTTTTCTCCTAGACTGTCAATCTGTTCAGGAAAATCCAATTAAAATGTTAAATTATGTTATGCCTGAAAGTCAAGAAGGTAAAGAAATGTGCCCTTGTTACTTCTGATGAAATAATTTAGAAGAGGGAAACCTTAAGATTCTGGTTTTCTGCTCAACTTTTCAGTAAAATTAATAATGGTATAATTAATAATTAAGTTATAACACATTATAATAACGATTAATAAGAAATGTAAAAAATTCTTGGTTCTGTATGTCATCTTGTGTACTTTAACAAATCCCTTTTTTAAAGTTCAGTTGTTAATTACTTATGTAGCTGTATACGTTGTTTCAGTACCCTTAAAAGAAAGCGAAACCTTCCTTGTTTGTGATCATTAGATGAGGAACTGCCACCCATACATCATGGAAATCCAATCACAGATCGAAGGAGTACTTTCCAGGCACATCTGGCTCCCGTTGTGACACCCCGACAAGTTAGTAGAGATCAATTTTACTTGTTTTGTCTGTGCTTCGAGCTTGACAAAATAGTTCTGAAATAGTTGGGATTAGTCAAATATGTCTGTTTATCTGTCTTTACATTTTCGTGTGCTAATGTTGTCTGAGTAGGCATCAGTTTCTCACTTTCACTGTCAGTTAAATAGCTCTAAATATCAGCTCTGCAATGCTTCTGCCATCCTTTACCATTATGTGCACTAGATTTAAGAGAACACTGAAATTTGACTTTTGAATGGAATCATAGAATCACAGAATGCCTTGGGTTGGAAGGGACCTCTAGTGGTCATCTAATCCAACCCCCCTACCATAAGAAGGAACATCTCACGCTAGAACAGATTGCTCAGAGCCCTGTGAAGCCTGACCTTGAATGTCTCCAGGGAATGCTGATATGTTTATTGTAAGATATTTGGAAGCTACTGAGTCTGTCAAGTGTGTATCAAATCCCCATTGTAAAAGGAAACTTATTTCTGTTTTTTTTAAAGGTTAAGAGAGTTCTTGAAAAATTATATGAGAATAAGAAAATTGCAAGTGCTACCCACAACATATATGCATACAGGTGAGAGATGAATAGTGATTATTTGGGGTTTTTTTCAGTGTTGTTTGACATGAGTGCAGGACATGAAAAAAGTAAAATCCATCAAAGAAACTCCTTGCTATTAAATCTTGATGGGAGTAGGTTTCTTATTTGTATGGTAATGGTTTTAGGCTTTATTTTGAATGTGAGGTCAAGAAAGTAGACCATACAATAGCAAATATGTTAAAGATAGTAAAGCGGCATTAGGAATTAAAGAAGACTTAAAGTGAATTTGAACATGTGTTGTTATACTTTGTGTAATATATGTGTGCATGGAAATGCTGCATCATCCTGAATTAAATGTATTTTTATTTCGGCGAAGTAATTGTTTTTCTTCCCAACCTTGTGTTTAGAAACAGCTGATTTTTTTAGTCAAAATTGGAGTAGAAACAGAGAGCCTGATGCAGATGTCTGGTCTGTCTCTGGGAACATTTTTGAATGTTACTTTAGTGAAGTGGGTTGTTCTCAGTCCAGATAGTTTTGTAGGTTTTCTGAAGGCTACAAGTGACAGTAAAAGAAGCCCCTTTTGTTACTGGAGGAAGCAGTCATCTGAAAAAGCATGACACTGGTCCATTCATGCATGTCCTGGCATGATCCTAATGAAACATGAAATGAGAGCAAGTGAATGCTTACTTAGTAATTAAGTTAAAGGTACCTAAGTGAAAGTTTTTTGTTAAGAGGGGATTTTTGTGGTTGCTGATGATAATCTGACTTCTTTCAGTCATGCTAACTAAATACTCTTCAAAAAAGCAAGAGAAACATACTGCTTTGTATTTGTCATGTAGTACCAGGAGCCTCTTTGTCATTGTGTCACAGGTATTAACTGAGTTTGGAAGTTATTAAATCAATTGGTAGCAAATATAGACTTCTGAGCATTACTTTTGGAAAATTAGACCTGGGTGGCTGTCCTGTATATGGAGCAATACACACAAAGTTTCCTGGAGTGCCACCTGAGGAAGGACATGTCAAGGAGAATCTGAAGGTGAATTTCGGTAATAGTTTCACACTGCTGCTGAAATATAGACCTAACTATTAATAATATTTTTGTCCAAGTTCTTTCAACTTATTGATGAGTACCGTCATTTGAACCTGTATCTGATAGAGCTGGATTCAGCTAGGTGTAAATGTAAAGATTTTTCTCATTAGGGACTTTATATTGGTAATAAGTCTGGAGTTAACCTGAAGTAGCTGAAGTCTACGTAAAAACTTCTCAAAACTTTTTCTACTGTACAGATTTGTGGTTTACCTTAAGCCGCATCCTGTTTTCATGTAAATGTCCTTAGCAAAGAGGTAGAATTGATAGACATGCATACAAACGGTCCCTGAGACTTCATAAATCATGAAGCTTTTTAATCTATTTAATTTTGGTTTTTTTTTTTTCTTTTTAAGAATATACTGTGAAGATAAGCAGACATTCTTACAGGATTGTGAAGATGACGGGGAGACAGCAGCAGGTGGACGTCTTCTTCATCTTATGCAGGTTATAGAAATTTATCTTTGACTTCTGGAAATCTTGAACAGATTTACAGAATAGTAGAGAATTGTCATGGTTGGAAAGGACCTCTGAGATCACTGAGTTCAACCATCAACACAAAAAAAACCCCTTAACAAACACAAACAACCACACATACTCCACCAGAAAACACCCACAAAACCCAACAACAAACCCCTACAACCTCGGCCACTAGAGCATGCCGTGAATACCTCCAAGGACGGTGACTCAGCCACCTCCCTCAGCAGGCTGTTCTGGTGTTTGACCACTCTTTCAGCATTTAAATTCTTCCTAATAAACAATCTAAACCACCCCTGGTGCAACTTCAGGCCATTTCCTCTGCTCCTGTCATTGTTTACTTGGGAGAAGAGGCCAACAACCGACCTCCCTATAGCCTCCTTTCAGGTAGTTGTAGAGGGCAATGAGGTCTCCCCTCAGCCTTCTCTTCTCAAAACTAAACATCCCCAGTTCCCTCAGCTGCTTCTCATATGACTTGTTCTCTAGGCCCTTCACCAGCTTTGTAGCTCCCCTCTGGACATGCTCCAGCACCTCAATGTACTTCTTAAAGTGAGGAGCGCAGAACTGAACACAGCACTTGAGGTGCAGCCTCACCATTACCGAGTACAGTGACACAATCACTTCCCTAGTCCTGCTGGCCAGGCTATTCCTGATACAGACCAGAATGCTGCTGGGCACACTGCTGGCTCATATTCAGCCAGCTGTCTATTACACCCCCAGATCCCTCTCTGCTGGGCAGCTGTCCAGCCACTCTTCCCCAGGCCTGTAGTGTTTGGGCCAATATGCAGGACTCTGCACTTGGCCTTATTGAACCTCATACAGTTGGCCTTGGCCCGTTGATCCAGCCTGTCCAGGTGCCTCTGCAGTGCCTTCTTTACCCTCAAGTAGATCAACATTTCCACCAAATTTGGTGGGGTCTGCAAACTTCCTGATGGTGCACTCAGTCCCTTCATCCAGATCACTGGTAAAGATATTGAACAAAAATCACTACAATGTAAATAAACTTGTAGAAGGTTATTTTAATTCCTGCTTTGCTCTTAGCCAAATAAATTACTGCTCTTTCAAAGGTGACAGAAAAAACACAGTCTGTTGCATGCAGGTAGTAAGTTGGGATGTCCAAGTCTCAGATCATAGACTTGGAAAACTGAATATGAAGTGGTAGGTAGTAGTAATAGTTTGAATGGTTTAAAAAATAATTAAGTTTTGATTTCTCTGCTTACTATGTGGTATAAGGTATATAGAAAATGAAGGCTGGAAGAAGCTGGTTGGCAGAATATAAGAGCTGACCTCTGCAAAGCCTTTCATTCAGTTCCCTCGAATAATTGTGATAAAAACACTTTTATTTGAAATAGCAGAATAGAGTTTGAAATGCAGAAGGTAGAGGAAGTTGAAGGAGTTAAGTTGTTTTGATTGTTTAATCTGTTTCTTTATACTGTTTCTTGTTTTGAATCCTTAGCATGTATTTTAGTTTTCAAGCGTTGAAATAATATTCCCTTGGGAAAGTTGGCACTAAGTGTGAATTGAGATTCATACATTTTGATTCACTAGCATGATGCAAGCCCTAGTAAAACCATAAATAAAATAGCATGACTACAGGGGACAGCTGGGTACATGTTATGCAGTGCCTTAAGTCACTAAGCTATGTCAGCATACTAATTATTCTTTTTAATTTTGATTTTTAGATTGAAGTTCACTTCACAACAAGGGTTTTCTCCATCCTTTACTTGCTTGCAATTCTGTTGCTTAATGTGTTGCCTTTTTAAAAAATTATTTCAAAGCTTTTTTTTTTCTTTTTTTTAAATGCAATTAATGGAACTTTTTCAGTATTTTTCACTTAGAAGTTTTTGAAACTTTATAACTCAAACCTGACTTGGGATGGCAAACTTGCTTTATATAATATATGCAAGTATATGTAGTAAGTGTGAAAACTTTAGTGTAATAAAAGCAATGTAAGTAAACAACTTTGCAGTTACCGTACCTGAGTTTGTTCCAAGCTTACCAGCTTTTTCTCAGCATGCTATTGTGTGCTTTAGAAAGTTCTATATGTATATATGAAAGTTTTGTAATGTGTATGTTTAAAAAGACTTACAGTGTCTAGACACTTAACGTTCCATAAAAATCCAGTTTAGAAAGTGACATTATGTTTCCCCTTTCGAAAGTCTAAATCATATGGATCATCTCTCTTCATCTGTAGTCCAAGTTACTGGGAATATTTTTGTTTTGGAACAGTACTGCAGTGATAAGAAAAGTGCAATTTTCACTCACAGGAGAAGATTAAAGTATTTTATGGGCTGATTTCTAGGTGTTCAGTCTTGTAGTTTTTCTGTTACAAGCACTTACAACATATGATAGAGGCATGAAAATAATGTGGTTTAAACACACTTATTATTTCTGTACTTAACAGTTCTTTTGCAATAGAAATCTTACCTTGTGTCAGATAAACCTAGCACTTCAGTCAAGATAGCACCTTCCGGTTACCAGAAACTGTATTTTAGATTAGTTCTTTTTAACCTAGAGTTAAAAAATTTCCTAACCATGCTTAGCATCCTGTTTCCTGTGCACAGTTGCTATACGTAGATTTTATGGCCAATGTGTGAATGTAGAGTAGAAAACCTGCCTAAATACCTTTTTTTTTTCTTTACCTTACAGTTTTAATTTTAAAATTGTAGGAAAATCAGTGTTTTCACCATGGTAGAATCTTTTAATACTATTGCTCAAATTAGTCAAATATATTTATTTTTCTGGTTGATGGAGATATGAATGTTCATTAACATGCTTTCTTGATAGTTAGCTCTTAAGGTGTTTTTTTAACTTCCACCAAACCACCCTGATATCTCGCAGACCAGTGTTTTCATGCAGCCTTATGCAAATAAATCTGTGTTTGCTCTGTCTGGCTCCAAGCCATCCGGGTGCATTAGTTTTGCACAGCACAGGACTTCAGAGAAAGCTGTTTAAAAGTGAACAACTTCCACCGAGATTCCAGATGCCTTAGTTTAAGGGACAAATTCAGGATCACGGTCACTAGCCATGCAAGACAAATTGGAGCAAAAATGTGAACTGGTGATTGTCACTCCTGATTTCCATGCAGTAAATGTGTTGTATCTTATTTTGACAAGATAAATGCTTCTCTCTGATACTTAGTCTTCTGGCATTCCCTGTGTGACTAGTGTTTGCTGATGATGGGGAGATCTTGAGGACAGACTTGCTGTAGGGAGAAATAAATGCTAGTTTTCAAGTCTTAAGGCCTTCCAGGTTTCTTGCTTTTAATTACAGTAAAAGAATAATCACTTTTCTTCCGTTTAACTCTCTACTTGACCTTAAGACTTTCAGTCTTAAGCTATATAAAGGTTGTCCTTTCAATCGTAATTGATAATGCAGTTATTTCATGTTGTGTGAACTTTATATATGTCTTTCTGAATTCAGAAATCTACTGCTTTGTCTCAAACCTGGAAGGTGCGGAGTTTTTTATGTATTATCCAGGTGCTGTCCTGCATATGGCAACAGTACTAGTTAATAACATTTTAGGTAGTGATATGAATCACCTGGCTGTTATTAGCCTCATGTACTAACACTTCCAAAAGTGTGCAAAGACAGCTTAGTGTTCTCTGGAAATAAAGATTTGTTACATCAAAGAATAATAATGTAACTCAGTAATTTTCGCTTTAAGTAATGCCTGAAGCCTTTGATACATGCATGAGCAACTGTATTGCACATGTAATAGCTTTACAATCTTTCTGAAGGACATATTGAAAAATTTTACTTTGAATTTACTTTTGAGTAGGAGCTTGGAGTGGGACTTACTACAACTGCTGACTTGTCATTACTTGCTACTCTCTGCTAACAAGTGTGTGATGCAGACCTGACTATAAATTCTTAAAAATGCAAGATAGTTGAGTTTTTCTCTTTAAAGTAGTTAAAACAGTTCAACCAAACACTATTTATTTATTTAATTATTTTTTAAACAGATTTTGAATGTCCACAACGTGTTAGTTGTTGTATCCCGCTGGTATGGAGGCATTCTTCTAGGACCAGATCGTTTTAAACATATAAACAATTGTGCAAGAAATGTACTTGTGGAATACCACTATGTACATTCAGTGGTAAGTTTCTGCCACATAGAATGAAGGTATTTAAATTCATGTCCACTTGAGTAAATTGTTGCTGTTAGATAAAGCCAGAAGTAGTACTGCCTGTGTCATCATCCTCTCTTTGCTTTGATGCACTGATAGTATGCATAGGATCAGCACAAAGAATCCTGAACAACTGCCAAAGAAGTGTAGCAGCCATTGAGAAACTTGGTGTAGAACACAAATGTGAGGGTTGGGGGAGGATGGAAAGAGGAGATGCCTCTTTCTGCACGTGCAGAACACTGGAAGCTGCTGCTTCTGCTTCTTACTTGTGTCACCAGTTCTAGTGCGTGAGCAGACTAAGCATGGGAACTGCTGTAACTAGTAGGCATTTTAAAAAGTGGAAGCTTTATTAGATCTCAACCAGTTTTCAGAATTACAGAGGACAGATGCAGTTTAAAAACAAATGCCTAGACTAGAAGAATTCAAGTGAAATACAATTGACTGTTCTAGAGAAGAGTAAGGGAAAATGTTTCAGGGGAGTTTAAACAACTAAGAAGACAAAGTTCCAAATGTCTTTAAATGGCATTTTTCTTCTTAAGGAACTTGTGTCATTTAATAATCTATTATTCTTTATTTTCAACATTACTTCATCCTCAGAACAGCATATTAGATGTGCCTATGTACAGTATAGTATGTAAGTGCTAACAATAGAAAGTTACTAATGGATACTTTAAAAAGTATGAAACTGTCAGTTTTCTTCTTTATGTGCAAGTATCTGAGATTGCTGTGGCTGAAAGCTGAGTATTCTTCTCCATTTATCCCCCTGCACTTTTCAGTTACTTGCTTTTTGCATTTTAGAGGTGCTTGAATCTACTTACTGATTTATCTTGGCAGTTTATCTTATTTGAATGCATTGCCCATAAAATGAAAGGAAGATCTTAAAAGATTTTTAAGCACTTAACCTCAAGTGAAGATTTAGTACCAAAAATTACTTATTTTCTGGTTTTAACAACATAAATCAAACTGTGTTTCTTTATTGTGTATTAAAATATATGTTTTGTTACCAGTGTCCATCAGAAAAATAACAGATGGGACTTACGCTAATTATCTTTCTGGTGCTATAATAAGGCTTTTTAAAAATACTCTTTTAGCTAACTCTCTTTAGAACACCAGAATTCAAACGTCTTGTTAGGGTCCATTTCCCTCCCATGCTCAAGAGGTAGAAGAGAGAAGATCAAAATGTCCCAGGTTCTGCCAGGTGTAGTGGCAGAGTCCTTTGCTATTTTGAGGAGCTCTTGTGATGAATGCCTGCTGAAGAAAAGTCTAGTTTTTCAGAATTGGCAGTCAGAGTAAGAGGTACAATACCATGCTGATCCAGCAAGACTGGCAAAATTTTGTTTTTCCCAGCATAGGATTGTTTCAGTTAGGGAAGCAATTTTAATGTATTGGTGTACTGTGTATCTCTTGATAAGGCTGCAACCGCAAAGCAGTTTTGCAGTGTAGTCTAGATATATTACTGTACTGGTAACCCCTTCCATGTGTGGAAATGGCTTAGATTATTTTTACATTGCATACTTCTATTGACATAGCTATGTCTGTAATTTTAGCATTACTGAAAGGCAGACGTTTCTAACTAGCAAGATGAGATAAATTAAAAAAAAATAAATTGAGTGGTTGAATATTATAAACCTTATAATGGTTGAAAATCCCAGTTAACTACAAGCACTGTTTATATGAAAAATAATTTCCATGGGTGACACTGAGGATGCTCACAGTATATAAGAATGTTGATTAAATTTTGTAATGTTTCTTTTTCATTTCAGGACGAGTCATCTAAACAAGCAGGAAAAAGCAAAAAGATAAGGAAGGACAACAAGAAGAGAACATAACGGTGTTTTTTAAAAACTATAAAAGATTATTTTGCACATATTTATACAAAGAAAACATGGACACTATTGCTTTATCCACAAAAGACATTTTGTATTCAAAAAATAATTCAGTAAAGCTACAGATGTAATTTCAGCCTGTTCTGTGATTTCTTCTGCTGTTATGAAATAGAGCTTAAATGCAAGTTTTCTGTTATACATTTCAACTCCTGGCTTTGAGGGTATTTTATCATCTGAAACCATTTACCCATCCCACCCTCTCCCATCCAATGATGGTTGACTAGTTTAAAGTGGGGATTACTTATCTTCTCTATTCCTGGGTTGGAACTGAAACACCTGTTTTGTATAAGAACTTGAATTCTCTAGTTTGTTGTGTTTACTTCAACATTTGTTTGAGGATCATGCTGTGACTGTTGGGAGTCTAGGAGCCTGTTGAAAAGCTGAGAATTAAGTGTTGTATAGTTAAAGGAACCGGTGATTTCAACAAAGAATATGGGGATTTTGAAATTTGACTGTTAAAGCTAGTAGTGAATGTTAGTAAACATTCTGAAGTGACTTCCATTGGTGTAGAGTGGGAAAAAATCAGTGGTTAATAATGCAATCACAAACACTTGAATTTTCTACTCTTTTAGTAATAGCTCCCAGACTTTTCTCTAATACATTACAAAAAAAAATTAACAGGACCTTTTCTCAATTAATTGTTATATTGCTGTTGGTGAGATTTAAATGATTTTTCATATTTCCTTGATATCTTCCACTTGTTTTTTTTTTTCTTTTTTTTCTTAAGTTAATTTCTAAACTTTGTAAGCCATTAATTATTACCTGAGTCACAGGTGCTTTCTTAGGTCAGGTACACCTTATTTAGTTTGCTCACATAGTAATGTCAGGGCTGTGACTATTTTAATGACTTTTCTCTGGTGACACTTCCATAGATTAAAGGTGTATTTGTAAGACTATTTGACCACCAGTGCAATATACATCTTTTTGCCAGTACGTTCTTATACTGAACTGTTAATTATAATTTTCCAGTAGGAGTACCACAGAAAAACTTACCCAAAGCAAACTTCATCTAACCAAATTAACTACTACACCAAAATGGAAGAAACAATTTTCTGATAACCACTAGCTGTGTAAATTAAATACACCTTGTAGGTCATCTAGTCAGGGAACAAAACTAATCCCCTATCTCTTAAAATGGCTGGAAAAATTGGAAATGTGTGTTTTCATAATGTTTCTTTCAGAGAGAACATTAAGTGCTGGCTATGTGTCTTGTGGACAGTTGGTTAGAGAAGTTGCATTCTCTTCCTATTTTTGTTTGTAAGTATTTCCTAAGTTTAATCTTCCTGTTTTCTAAGAAGGAGATTTCATGTGGCTTTCCAGAAGAGTGTTGTAACACAAGATTTGATGCATTCCTATGAGAGTGATGCTTCAGCGTACCTCATGGCCTAAAGAACCTGTGATTTTTGCTCCCTGATTATTAGCTGTCCTTCAAGGAGGCTTCTCCCATGGCTTAATTCAATACAATTGTTTCTGCTTCGTAATTCAGAAAATGTTTGAGCAGCAGTGGTTATTATCTGTCAGGATCAAAAATCTAGCACTGATGCAGTAGTTGAAGTCCTTGAGATGTCAATAGTGTTTTCATACTGGGACTAGTAACCAAGGGACACAAATAAGCTGTTCTGTATGTAGACCAGAGCAGCAGCAGACACAATATATTTTGATCCTCATGTTTTTATCTTTGCCTAGAAGGCATTTTGGGTGGTTAACAAAGAAATAAAAAACCTGAATTATTTAGAAACAGGGTTAGAAAACCTTCTGTTTCTCTTAGTGGAGAACAGAGGTCCTCCAGAATCTGAGAAAGAACACAGGTCAGCCTACTCTTACAAGCAGCTGGCTTTCTTCCTAAATCACCTTGGAAGTATGTTATTCTGAAGCCAGTGTGTTACTCTTGAACAGACTGGAAGTACTGACATCTTGTCTGAACTATAGTAATTTTGGATTAGTATTCCTTTATTAATTAAAACATGGGAAAAGAAGAGAATAGACAACTACTTGTAATTGTAATAACCCTGTCATTTTGATAACTAAAAGGCATTAATTTTTATGTTCTGACATAAGTAATAAGTATTTATTTTGAGGTAGGGTTCACAGATGGTAAGAGAAGTGGCTTTCAGTATGTGTCTATGCAGAAAAGAGGAAGATGTGCCTTTTCTGTTAGGTACATTTGTGCAGGTTTCTGTGGTGGAATGATGTTAAGTAGAATTGGCAAAACCACCCCTGATGGTGGGAGAGGAATGAATTTTGCTTTCTGTTGCCTGAAGTGTGCTGACAGGAGGTCTGCTTTAGATTTGGCACAGCTCCCTCCCCTACCAGGTAACAAGGGTGGGATCAGCCTTTGCTTTTGAGTAAGCTGAGGACACAATCACCATACTCCTGCTAAGAGCATTATTATCAATACTCATACTCTAAACTCCTACTGCTAAAGAATGTAACAATCTTATTTATCAATGTAAACTATGAGGGTTTAATATTTTCCTCCAAATGAAAGATTTATAAATAAGGATCTAGAGAAATATCACTACATCAACTACATCAGAAGGGAGCACCAGTTTTCTTCAGTCCAGGACTTGGTGATGCAACCTGGTGAAGACCAAGTTGAGTTAAACAAATGATGTGTATGTGAACCAGCAAGTGGGATCCAGTAAGAGAAAGATACTACAAAAATGGCTTGCAACAGCTGTAACCTCACAAATCCTAACAGAATATATAATATTCAACAGAAGCAGCAGTTTTAACAGCTTTTGTTATCAAATACTGTAAATTTGTTTGAGACAATATAAACTGTGTACATCCTCTATCATGAAAGAGTTAGAAATTTAATTATCTGGAAAAAATAAGAAAAGGATTACAGCTTTAATTTGTACCTAACGTACAGCTTCCTGTCATAAAAATATGTCTGTGAAGAATCAAACACTATCAGAAAAAGGTAGATTGAGACTTCTAGTTAGTCTTTTTTGCTACTCTTATCTCTTGTACTGTTCTTGCCTTGCTCTTCTGGAAGTGAATCAGGAGTAAGACTGAAACCAGATTAGGCACTACAGGACTGCAGTCTCCTTCAGGTTGTACTCATAGAATCATTCAGCTTGGAAAAGACCTGTAAGATCATCCAGTCCAACCTTTAACCTAACTCCATTAACCTAACTCTACCAGTCCACTGCAAAACCACGTCCCTAAGCCTTGTATCTGTATGATTTTTACACATTCAGGGATGGTGATTTAAACACTTCCCTGGGCAGCTCATTCCAGTGCTAAATAACCCTTTCTGTAAAGAAGTATTTCCTAATATCCAACCTAAACCTCTCCTGGCGTAACTTCAAGCCATTTCCTGTTTTTGTTTGCGCTTCATGACGTCAATCAGGATTTTGGCTGAAACCAGATTAATAGAATGATTTGCTTTACTTTGTTGCTTAAACTGAAGTGACTGGAGCAAGAGCTTGGCACCTTGAGCTACAAATCACTGGAGGCATGGGGAGCACACCAGCAGTATATTTTGCCATCTTCTTCCTTAGGCTGCAGGCAGTTGAGATAGGATACAGGCTTGGCCAAACCCTCAATTTGACCTCACATCTGCTTACCACTTTAACTTCTTTTCAACTACATAATAGCTTGGACCTTAACAACTTCATGTAGATCAGCTTCAGTACTGCTAGCAGAAGAAAGGCTAATGGAATTACTTAGTAGCTATTGCCAAAGTGTGTTTTCTACTTTTCCAGCATTACCTGGAAATGAAGTAGAGCTTAAAGCAGTACTGGACAGGCACGCTGTGAAGATATTTGTATGGATAATAAAGTTTTGCATTTTCTGAACTGCTGCCATTCAAACATTTAGTAAAAAACACTTGGAAAATGTTAATGAATTTGTTCCCACAACAGAAGCACAGACATGGCAGCCAACATTTTTCAATTTTAAGTATTTAAATTTAGACACCAAAGTGCTTTTAGAACCTATAATAAAAATGATTGAATTTTTACTACTGTGGAATACTCACAGCTCTCTGCAAGTGGCTTCATTACTCATTATCGCACTTGCGATAGACACACGATTTTTCCCAACAATGTGGAAAGAAGAGCCTAGTCCTATAAAAGTTAATTACCAAGCTCTCATTCGTGTTCAGGGAGTCAGTATTTTGTTCCTTGGTGCTCGGTTGGCAGCAGTTGATGTGTCACTGAGGCTGCTGCTAAGGATGTTTGAAACTGATTTCAGTTGGAGTTTCACAGCCTAACTCTGAGGGTTGGACCAATACTGGAATTGCTTTGGAAAGCAATTGTATGTATGCTTACTTAGATCATATCAGTTTTCAGCCCTAGGGTCTACAGAAAAAGGAACAACAGCAACAACAAATTTGACCATGCCTTTGGTCAACAAAAAGTAATAACACAATAGAGAGGGCCCACAGACTGGCTTAAATACAATGGCACTAGGTAAAAATAATTAAATTAGAAATTATCAAAAAGATATATACCCAATATTAAGAAAAAAATTCAGAAAAAATTGTCCATAGTGCTAGCAAGCAAAACAGTTCTGCAAGAGAGGGAACGAGGGAGGGAGGGACAAAGCAACAGATATTCTCAAATCAGCCCTCCTGACCTCCACAGATAACAATCAGATTGCATAAAAAGAACTTGCATTTTAAAATATGAGCTTGGAAAACACACATATTTCTTACTGGTAACTCTTCTATATATGGTTGAAAAATACCTTAGGAAAGCTAGATTTATCCAAGGTCAGAATATTTTAAATTTTTCTACACCTGTGTCAGGAGGTTTTTTTATGTTTATTGGATTTTTGACCCATCCTGTTAATAGTCCTTATGAACCTTTTGGACAACTCTGGCGGGTGCGCATTTCTTCCCAGACTGAACTGACCTGGGTCCACAACATGCACAACAGCACTGCTGGAACTCCACATGTGACTGGAACATGCAATGAGACTTTGTCCACACCTCCACCGAGCTCCGCGTTTTCCCTAGGCACATTGGTGCTGCTGGCTTTCCTCATGGTGTTGCTAGCTCTGGTCACCATCCTGGGCAACGTCTTGGTGATCCTTGCTTTCATCATGGACAGGAACCTCAGGCATCGGAGTAACTATTACTTTCTCAATCTTGCTATTTCTGACTTTGCAGTGGGTAAGTCTCAGCCGTGCGGCACATGCAATTTGTTTCTTAGGACTCTTAGGAGGAGCAAGGGGGCTTCTTTTGCTGGGTGTTTTCTTCTAAGAGAACTATTTCTCAGTTTCTTGTGTCTAGGGGAAGGGTAAGAATGTTGGCAACTGCACTAAATGTTTTAGCAGCATATTATTTTTCAGAAATACATTATCATAAGAAGTGGGTCCTTTGCCAGGGAAACAGGTAATGTTTTATGTTATTGCTTCAAGAAAAGATCCTAGCATGTGTGAATCTATGTGGAATAAATAACACACTGGGAGTTGTTTGTGAAGAGTCTTGTGTAAAGTTTAGATATTCAGATAAAATACAGCATGTATCTTGGATACATGTTTGATATCTTCATCTGCTCTCACACAATACAGATGTTTGCCACTAAATAGTGATGAATAGTATTTTAAAACATTTTGCTGTGCTTGTCTATCTAAATTCACACCTTAGGATTATGTGTTTGTGTAGGTGAATAGAAGTAATAAATCAAACTGTTTCACAGGCACATATTTTATTTTGAAACTTGTACTGAGAAAAAGCAGAATTAAAACACTAGTGTGATATGCAATTGTAGATTGAGGTATTGCAATATTTTGTGAAGTATTGAGTGTCTTTGGTGTAAGTCTTGGTTAAATTACTGAGTATGCAGAGTCATGGTATCCAACAGATGTGGCTGTGTCATGAAATCTATATTCTGACTTGTCACATTGCAACAAAATCTTTTTAAACTGGTTTTAGTCTACTTTTTTACCCTACCCATTTAAAAAGGATATAGAAAGATCAGAAGAAACTCTCTCAAAATTTATTGCCAGTGTCAGAAGTTGTGTTAGGGGCATGGCTTCTCATACTCCAAGCCTCGTGATGTCCAGGTCTTCTTGTATAACATTTTGATCACTTCCCTCATTGCTTGATGTTTTCTTCCAGCTTGTAACTGCCTTGCTAGGTCACAGAGTTCTTGCTGCCTGCTGTCTGGCTATGGTACACAGGAAAAAAACATCTGGCTCACGATCTAACACCATATTGAACAAACACCAGCACCTAACTGAGAAGTACAAAGTAAATCAAAGAAGGAAATAGAGTCATAGGGTGATTTGGGTTGGAAGGGACCTAGAAGACCATCTAGTTCCAACCCCGCTGCAAGGGCAGGGACGCCTCCCACCAGATCAGGTTGCTCAAAGACCCTTCCAACCTGGCCCTGAACACTTCCAGGGAGGGGGCAGCCACAAACTCCCTGGACAACCTGTTCCAGTGTCTCTCCACCCTAACAGTAAAGAATTTCTTCCTAATGTTTAACCTCAATCTACCCTCTTCCAGATTATCTGGTAAAAAGTCCCTCCCCAGGTTTTCTGTAGCTCCCTTCAGGTACTGAAAGGCTGCTACAAGGTCTCCCTGAAGCCTTCTCTTCAGGCTGAACAGCCCCAGTTCTCTCAGCCTGTCTTCATAATAAATATATAATGGATATATAATATATATATAATGGATATATAATAGATAAATAGTTATATAATAGATAAATAGATTTTACTTGGCATTACCTAACTTCCATAAATCTTTGTTTTCTGATACTATGTTTACTGGAATATCGAGTTTTTCATTCTAAATTTAGTTAAAGGCTTTGCATACTTAAGAGTCAAACTGTTTGTATTTCTGATTCAGAGTATATCTGAACTATCCTTAATTTCTGCTTGATCCTAAATGCAGAAAGCACACACTGTCATGCTTGCAGAGCCCTTTGCTTATGCTTTTAATATATTTAATGTCTGATTTTGACCTTCAACAACTTTTGCTTTATCTCTGTGCTTCTGAACGTATAGCTAGATTTAAACAGAGAAATCTTGATTCTTAGTAGAGGTAGAATAACAGGAATTGTAAGACCTCTAGGGAAATGGAAACTCTCAAGGTGCTCTTTAGTATCTGTTACAGGAGCACACACTATCATGAAGTAAATCTATAGTTGAATTAATACCCTTTTCCCCCACTTTTGAATGTTAAAATCTACAATATAACCTTTTGCTCAAAAAAACAGCATTTATTGCTCTGTAGATGCAGTGGTTCCATTATTCCATTTCGTTACAGTGTTCATGCTGTTCACTGCATCTCTGTCTCACAGCAAACTAAACTGTTGTCTCTTCAGCCTTGCAAGGTTACATTGTGACTGTGTAGTGTGACCGCTGAGAAATTCTTTAAAATGAGATTATAAGGGCACTTTCACAACATTTAGGTTTAACGGCCTTAATTTAGTGAACCATTGTTGTGGGTCACTCATGTATGTTCCCACCACTTGATATGTTCCTACAGATAATACCCTATCAGCTCACCACTGAAAAGTGGTTGTGATCAAGTATTATGAGAAAAGTTGTTAGACTGGATGTACTTAATTGACCGTGCAGTTTTTGTCAGCTTCCTAATTAGATAGTTTTAAAGATTTGTCTGAAATGCATATTACGTTTCTATAGAAGTTAATTCTGGGGCATTTTTGGACACCATATTATGCTTCTAAGAGGATAGAAACATGGCAATTAGATTGTTTACTGTAGAAAAGAGTTAGTAAATTACATTGGGGGAAAATGTTTTTGTTTGTTAGTATTAATTTCAGTAGTCCATGGAAAACAGTGTTTACTTCAGCAGGTAAAAAATTCAGCTACTTCTTCCTTTAGCAGGTGATATAAGCAGAAGTAATGATGATACAAAATAAACCTGATAAATCCTTCAGAAAGGTATTCACTATCAGAATGGCACTGGTGCCTAGTTTGTAGTCAAGTGATCATTGGTTGCATGGGAATTCAAAGCTTTGCACATGTCAGTTCCAGTCATTATTGCACTTTTATCAGATAACACTGAAATGTTTCTTTGCTTTCACAAGCACTGCCTGCAGTGCTGACTGATGTGTGCATTGTTTGTTTCCATAGGTGCCTTCTGTATACCTTTGTACATCCCTTATGCCCTGACTGGGACGTGGCCCTTGGGAAGAGGCCTGTGCAAGCTCTGGCTGGTTGTGGATTATCTCCTGTGCACAGCTTCAGTGTTCAGCATCGTCCTTATCAGCTATGACCGTTTCCTGTCAGTTACAAAAGCTGTAAGAGCATTTCTAATAGAAGAGGTTCCTACAGGAAAGCTGGGGAGGGGCTTTTCACTGTAGAGGGTAGTAATAGGACAAGGGGTTTTAAACTGAAAGAGGGGAGATTCAGGTTAAACATCAGGAAGAAATTCTTCACCATGAGGGTAGTAAGGCACTGGAATTAGTTGCCCAGGGAGGTTGTGGAAGGCCCCTCCCTGGAGGTGCTCAAGGCCAGGTTGGAGGAGGCTTTGTGCAGCCTGGTCTAGTGTGGTGTCCCTGCTCATAGCAGGGAGGTGGGAACCTGATGATCTTTAAGGTCCCTTCCAACCATAGCCATTCTATGATTCCATATGTATTTCTGTAAAACTCAGCGTGTTCACAATAACACTAGATGCTAAACAGTCTTTCATTATTGTACCATTTTTTTTCTAGAAAAATGCTGATGCTTTAATTTTGCATTAGGACTTAAAGATAAGACAAAGATTTGGCTACAATGTCAATGTTTCCCTGCTGCTGCATGGATTAGAAACTATTTAATTATACTACAGAGGAGGTGGGAAGGTCAAGGTAGGAAAGGAGCAGCAGGAGTGTGGATAACTTGGGGTTTCGTCATTAGAAGAATGGTAATGAAACTAGGTTGAGTCAAGGATGTGCATAGGATAAATTTTGAAAGAAGAGGGTATGGAGAGTGATGTGGGGTGGACTAACTGAAGAACAGATGAGGATCTGCACTGCTGCCGGGAGTTATTGACATGTGCTGCCAACAAGCAGTTGAGTGTAAACTAAACTTTTGCAAAAAGAAGAATAAATTAAAAGAGGTGGAGAGGGAAGAGGTGTTTCTGGAGTATTATCTTTCTTCACTTTCAGAAGATACCTGAGGAATCCCGTGGTAGCTATGATAATTCACAGTTCCTAAGCTCTAACCTGGTGTTTCATCCAGATGGGAGGTGATCCACACCTTTTGCTTTTGGTGAATCTGCTAGCGCAAGTGCCATGGGTTGTGTTAGAGTGGGAGGTTCTTGTTTGAGAAGTGCTGATACAACACCCAATCTCTTTCTCTTCTTCCCCAGGGTTGTGGTTTTGCGGTTGGTTGTTGCTGCCTTTTTTTTTTTAAAAAAAAAGCTGAACAATAAAGTATGAAAATCCCTGTATTTAAGAAAGTAATATTGAAGAATACTAATGAAGTTGCAGAGCTCAGGATGTGAGAAATGTAAATTAAAAAAGCCTCTGCAGCCTAACTGTGATCTTCATGTTCTTCTGCACTGTTGGTGGTCTTTGTTTACATGATCACATTCTGTTTGTCACTTTTGGGTAATTTGGTTTTAGTGAGTCCAGGAGTGTGTAACATAGGGCTGTTATCCAAAGAAAAGATATCATTCTTCCTCATGGACCTGGGATCCACCTCTACTGCAAAACTAGCTTTGTGGCCAGGGGCCAGTCATTTCAGACTTTCTGTGAAGCTCTGCTGAGCTTCCTGTTTTCTGCCTACTAAATTGAGATGCTTGTGGTCTTGCAAAGGGCTGCAAAGTCATTACTGCAGAGCTGGAGCTGTGCTCTGAGCTGGTGTCATGCTTCAAGATGTAGAGGAGTCTGAATTTTCAGGCTACAGATATTTAAAACAGATAATCTAAAATAATGTTCGTAATACTGCGCTAGCAGTCTCTTACTCGCTGGTGAAATAGGGACAATGCCCCTCATGTCGTGTGTGGCTGGGAAGGCACCATCCGTTAATTGAGGGAGGTGATTCTCCCCCCTCTACTCTGCTCTCATGAGACCCCACCTGTAGTACTGTGCCCAGTTCTGGAGTCCCAAAACCAAGAAGGACATGGAGCTGTTGGAGCAAGTCCAGAGGGGAGCCACCAAGATGACCAGAGGGCTGGAGCACCTCTGCTATGGAGATGGGCTAAGAGAGCTGGGGTTGTTTAGCCTGGAGAAGAGAAGGCTCTGGGGAGGCCTCATAGTGGTCTTCTAGTACCTGAAGAGGGCCTATGGAAAGCTGAGGAGAGGCTTTTTTGCAAGGGTGTGTAGTGACAGGTTGAGAGGGAACAGCTTTAAGCTGAAAGAGGGTAGATTTATATTAGATATTGGGAAGAAATTCTTCACTGTGACAGTGGTGAGACACTGGAACATGTTGCCCAGGGAAACTGTGGATGTCCCATCCCTGGAAGTGTTCAAGGCCAGACTGGGTGGAACTTTGAGCAACCTGGCCTACTGGAAGTTGTCCCTGCTCATGGCAAGGGAGACTGGAACTAGATGATCATTAATGTCCCTTCCAACCCAAATCATTCTATGATTCTATGATAAATATTTGTATAGCATGCAGGTGCTATAATAACATACAGCACAGGAAGCTGATGAGGAAGGTAGTGGTTCTAAATCTGAGAAAAGCTTGAGATGGCAAGTGTTGTTCAGTATGGAGGAAACAAAATTGTCCAGCTTCTCATCAACTGATCATCTTGTGCTCTGAAAGATGTAGGGAGGGAACCGAGAGCTAGAAGTATGTATTATACACACTGGCTGGGCTGTTACAAGGCTGGTTTTAACTTTCATATTTCTTAGCTTTGGATGACAAGATTTTAATTCTTTTTTTTTTCAAAGGTAGGTATGTATGGTAGAGTAAAATAAGTTAATGCAGCCGAGTAGACATAAAACCACCAAGATTTGCAGTAAAGCAATGAGCTGTTTATAATGTAAATTGAGTGCTAAAACAGAATGTTTCAATAAAGTAAGGAATGTTAAAACATGTATGGGATAGATTTTTCTACCATGGTAAGGGGAAACAGTATTAAAAATTACATTGTCTACTGTTTGTGGTCTGACAGGGCAACTTGTATAAGAAAAGAAGGCTTCTACTTTTTCCTGTGCATGAGGGAAGTCCCACAGCTGCTTTTATTCTTCTCTGACCCTGGGTATTTCATGAACCATAAACTAATTCCGTATTGCTACCTTATGGTGGTGGTGATGAAAACATGCCACGTTCTTTCATGCCTGGAAGCCAAATGGTAGTTTAGCCATCGTTTCCAATCTCAAGTATTAACATCAATGACAAACCTACAGTATCTGATGAGTAAGACTAACAGAGGACCTTACATAAGTGAAGATGTTCTAGATGTCTGTGGAATTACACAACAAATATTGTATTTTACTTGCCTGCTTGCTTATTTTATTTTTTTAAGATAGGTGTTCCAGAATCTTTTTGGAATATATGATATGTCCTTTTTCCCCTGCAGGTATCTTACAGAGCCCAGCAGGGAATAACATCCAGCCCTGTTGTCAGGATGGTGGCCATCTGGGTCTTTGCCTTCCTCCTCTACTGCCCAGCAATCCTCCTGTGGGAGCACGTGGCTGGACACAGCGTGGTAGCCGTGGATCAGTGCCACGCCGAGTTCTTCAGCAACTGGTACTTCCTCCTGTGCACATCCACCCTGGAGTTCTTCGTGCCGCTGGTCTCGGTGACCTACTTCAACGTGCGCATCTTCCACAGCATCCAGAGGCGCCAGCGGCGCGGCAGCGCGCGGGACTGCGAGGCTGCAAGGGGCAGCAGCCTGTCCTGGAGATGGTGCCTCCTGCCAAGGCCCGGAGGGTCTTCTCCTTCATCGGAAGCAGAGGACAGTGTTTCATCCTTAATGATGCCAGTGAGACCAGCAGTGACTCCTAGCTGTCCATCTCCAACAAATACCGGTCCCACAGCTCTCAAGAAGGACTTTTCTTTTTCTTTCCGTTCAAGGACCGGATCAAAACTGCAGAGGGACAAGAAAATAGCAAAGTCTCTTGCCATAATTGTGTGCGTGTTTGCCGTTTGCTGGGCCCCGTACACTTTGCTAATGATTATTCGTGGGGCCTGCCAAGGAACCTGTGTTCATATCTCCCTGTATGAAATAACCTTTTGGCTTTTGTGGATCAATTCCTCTCTGAACCCATTTCTCTACCCTCTCTGTCACATTAAATTTCGGATGGCTTTCATGAAAATATTATGTCCCAAAAAGCTGGCAACACTGAGATCACCTAGCACACCTTCTTTTTAGAGAGCTAAAATAAATTACTTTAAGATAAGGTTCCTCTTTTTATTTAGTGCTGTTTTTCATATGTATCTAACAGAACTAGTAAAAAATCTTTTTTTTACTGATGGCATTAGTTAAAATTGCAACACAGCTATGCATTTACCCCGAGTTTGTCAGTTTTCAGGGTTGTTTTTGGTTTTGCTGGTATGATGTAAGGCTAAACACCATCTAGTGCGCTGAAAAGGTTAACAGGTTTTGCATGCCCTTCATTTGTAGGTTTGAGGTACTTTTTTTTTTTTTTTTTAATATAGAGCTGGTACTCTGAAAGAGCTCTTCTATACATATCTCCATAGAGGTTCATTGGAGGGAGATACCTGTTTGTGTATGGGTTGAAATTGATGTCCTAACTGGGAACTTAAAGCTACCAGTGAAGAAGCAGTTCTGGCAGAGAGACCTGGGGCTGTTTAGTCTGGAGAAGACTGAGAGGGGATCTTATTAATGTTTACAAATATCTGAAGGGTGGGTGTCAAGAAGGAGGGACCAATCTCTTTTTAGTTGTGCCTTGTGATAGGACAAGGGGCAATAGATGCAACCTAGAACACAGGAAGTTCCACCTCAACATAAAGAAGTTCTTTACTGCAAGGGTTACAAAGCACTGGAACAGGCTGCTCAGAAAGGTTGTGGAGTCTCCTTCTCTGGAGACTTTCAAGACCTGTCTGGATGCGTTTCTGAGTGACCTGCCCTAGATTCTGTGGTGGTCCTGCTCTGGCAGGGAGTTGGACTCAACCTCCAGAGATCCCTTCCAACCCCTAACATTCTGTAATTCTGTGATTCTGCTACACTTTCAAAAGGTTGTGTAAGTACTCACAGGAGCAGTATAATTTTGTTTTAAAAACTATTATAAAGACAAGATAGTGCCCTGTAGTCATTATAATTCCCACAGCGAGCAATATGCAAGTGAATGGACTGCCTATTCTGGTATGTTTGTCCTTTTTTGATTTTAATATAGTCCATACCTGGTGTTGCAGGACACAGTCCATGTAAATTAGTAATTCTGGATGGTTTTCAGAGAATGAAAGTTTCCATGGTAATGGAATGTTGAGATTGGTTATCAAAATTGTCACAGGCAAACACGGTTGTTACTCTTCACTAGTAGTGTCATTTCTCCTCATAGTGGCCACCTCTTTAGTCATGCTTAAATGATATTCAGTGCCAGATTTCTGCACTACTTGATTACCTAAAAGATAGGTCAGGCTTGGGCACATGATCACATTCCTGTTGAATTAGCAGAACAAGCAATACAAGGTTCGTACTGGATTTCTGGTTTTGGCTGGCTGTGCAAGAATAGACAATACCCTCTCGGGTGGAAAGCTTTGCAAGTGCAAAGATATTCCATCAAAATGTCTGTAACAAATTTGAACTGGCAGAGTAATTTTTATACTAGATCAGTTCTTTGTGTCCTGTTACTGTGACATTAGATGCATTTTCTCTGCCACTGAACCAGCATCAGACTGGATTTTTTTTATCACTGAACAAGGGCCACATATACTGCTTGAAAATGGGATTCACAGAGGTCTGAAAGCTGACACAGAGGTGTCTTAAGCAGCTGTTACTTAAACAAAGCAGTTGTATATGCAGTGCTTAAGGAAGTGGGTAGATGTGTTGGAGAAGGCAATGGAGCTTGATTATAAACCATTCCATGTGCCAGACTTCCTTACCTCAAGTTGGGTGTTGCAACTCACCCAGAAGGCTTTCATAGATGGGTAAGTGAGTCACTGGTTGTTTTTTTTTTTTTTCTCCTTCTATATAGTTTTCTTTCCTCTTTTTATGTGTATTTAAATATATAAAATATGGAAAGAGAAATGTGATGCACAGAACAATGAAGAGCAATAGTAAATTTAAATAGTATTTTTAATCTAATTTGAAATTGGCTGTAAGAAGTGTTGCAAAAGCAGAGTACTTTGCCAGCACAATGCAAATACGTGTAAGCAGCTTAATCATAGCACAAAAGTTGATTACTTTGAGGAACTAAAATGCCATTCTGTTCAGAGGTCTGGAACTGAAGACTTCTCTTGCCAGTTTTCACACTGGTAGATTATCTTTCACCATTCATTCTTGTTATGCTTCCTTGCCTCACATACATAGTGTTACGGACCGTGAGCCTTGTTGGTAAGAGAGATGCAGCTTCAAGAGGAGGTCATTGATTCAGGACAGCTGTTTTTACTATCATGAGCTAAGGTGCTGGCATAGATTTTGTGAGGTTTGTTTTTCTGTGTGGCTTAAATAAACCAAACACATGCACACACACATTTATAACATTTATTGAGTAGCTGGTGTACTAAATAAACATCTGGTTAACAGAGAAACTGTAGATAGGCCCAAAAGAGTGAAGTATTTGAGTTGTCTGTTTTTCTACCCCTATGCTTTTTAATATAAAAATTTAGTTTGCATTTCATTATTAAAGAATGTGTGATTTACTTTGGAAAAATGGCCTACAAAATTATTGACTAGGTAAACTGTATGAACAATTTGCAGTCCTGGAAAACTAGAGTTTGTCAGGGAGCACAACATGCAGCAAATTTGAAACAACAGGGAATGCTGGAGCTGCTAGAGAGCAATGTTTTTGGTGTTCTATGTGACACACAGTGTTCAAACTGTTTTGTCACACCACTTCTGTATATTTGAATAATTTGTTGTGTTTTTCTAATTGTTGATTGTTTTGCTTGATGCTCCCAGTGTAAGTCAAGCAATTAGTTTCTGTGGTCACAGCACTAATGCTGACTTGGTCAAAGTGGCAACATAAATCTCTTTCTCCCTATTGACATTTTGCAGGGTTATGGTAATATACTTATTCAGCATTTATTCTTGGGCGTGCCTTTCATGCACTGAAGCAAATGGACTTTGCTTGCTGAAGTAATTTCTAAGCCAGGTCTCTCTATCCACTCATTCATCCATTTCACCATTTCATATCCTTGCATTTTCTTCCATCTCTGCAGATGTCCAATAGCTCTTGGACATACATAGTGACAGTAAGCCTGTGACTCTGGGGTTTAGCTTGAACCACAACAATATTTTTCTAATTTTACCCTCTCGGGTCTCAAAAAAACCCCAACAAATAAAATATACATGTTGGAAGAAATGGTGTTATCTTTTTGTTTGTTTGTTTGTTTATTGGATGAATATTTAACCTTAATGATCCTCCTAATCTCCTTTTTCCTAATTTCCTTTATGTCTACAGTTTTTCCTCCACAGGGAGGGAGGAAGGAGTGACCACACAGATTTCTCCCTCAGTCCCATGAAGGACTATGAATAAATCTGTAGCATTTGATTAGTTCTCTAATTTTTGAAAGCAAATGGCTAATGTCCCCTTGTTAACTAATCAATTAATTTTATTAAAGAAGAAAAGCAAGTTGCTCAGGTATGATTTACCCTTGATAAACCCATGCTGTTTTTTCCTAGTCACCTTTTCCTCCATCTAGTTCTCATAAATGCCTTCCATGAGGACTTGCTCCATTATGGTCCTGGGGCCAAAGAGAGGCTGAACTTTTGTCCTCAAAGCATAATTTGAAGATGAGAGTAGCATTTGCCTGTCTTCAGTTGTTGGGAACCTCCTCTCATCTCCATGACCTTTCGAAGAGGATAGGAAATGGCCTTGCAAGGATGGTAGTTGGTTCTCTCAGCAGCCATGGGTGTCGCCCATTGGGTCCTATGGACTCTTACAGATGAAGTGTTCTCAAGTAATCCTTGCCTTATTCTCACCTGATTCTGACAGGCTTCCCTCTTGAATTCATTGACTAAGAACAGAGGAGAGGCTGGTGAAGACTGAAGCAAAAATCACTGGTCCCATTCAGCACAGACCTACATTTTATTCAGCATTTTACTCTTAATGAGACAACTGAAGTTCTTCATGTTGCCCTTGATGTCCTTTAGTGGCATTCACACCAGGTAAGTTTTGTTTTCTCCAGCATCATGCTTCTGCAGCCAGGCAACATTTCTAAATTCCTCCTTTGTAGTCTGTCCCAGCTTCAAACTGCCTTTTTGCATTGTAGCTTCCCTGGTTAGACAGTCTCCTGGCAACTCTACCTTTTTTTCTTGACAATTGGGATGGACTTTCTTGTGTATGAAGGCTGCTGTGTCTAAAGACCTGAAAGTTTCCTGTGCGTATTTTCAGTTCAGAGCTACCTCCATGGGATCCCACGTACTACTTTCCTGAATAAACCATAGTATGCTTACCTGAAGCCCATGGTCTGTACTCTGCCACTCTTCTCCCTCTCCTGCTTTAGGGTCTTTAACTCCACTACCTACCTTGTAGTCACTACAGCCAAGCCTGCCATTGATTACGCATCCAGAAACTGCTCCTTTTTACCAGCTAACAGCTGGTCACCCCTGTGGGCCCATTCAGTATTTCTATCAGAAAGTTGTCCCTGACATGCTCCCAGAATTCTGTGGACTGCTTGTACCTGCTCTGTTGCCCTCCAGGAGATCTCATGAACGTTGAAGTCCTACACAAGAAGTGGGATGTCCGAGCCAGCAGCTTCCTTGATTTGCTTAATGAAGACTTCATCAGCTCCCTTATCCTGATAGGGGTGGTCTGCAACACACTCCCACCATTATGTCACCTGTGTCACTGCCCTCTCCTTTGACCCTGACCCACAAATTTGCAACCAGACTGCCTATCCTATAGAGAAGCTCCATACATCCTTCTGTACATGGTGGGCAATCCCTGCTCTTCTTCTTCCCCGCCTGTCTTTCTTGACAAGCTTGTCTCTGCCTGTTGCAGCCCTCCAGTTGTGCAAGATGGTGCATGGCCTCTGTTACCCCAAGAGCCTGGTGGCTTTGAGACCTCACAGGGATTTCTAGTTCCTCCTGTGCATGAAAGAACACAGGTTCCAGGCTGTGTTTGTGCACATGCACCTGAGGCAGATGTTCTTTTTCTATGTTTTAGCATTTCTGAGGTCTCTTCTGCTTCTGTTGCCCTACAGCTTTTGCTTTAATTACTCCTTACAATATATTTCCCTTTAATC